TACCTCAAAAGAAAAAAAAAAGTCAGCTCCCTAGGACACAGGAGTCCAGTTCAAACCTGTCTCTCTCCCTGTGCTGGATTGAAGGCAGGAATTGTATTGGAAAAGGTTTAGGGGTAGCTTCTGGGATTAGCAGGTGATTGGTGGAAGGAAAGGAGAGGTCTAGACAGTCCCCCGGCCTGGCTGGTTCTGCCTTCATGCCGCCTTATGGGAACCACGTGACCTCAGCAAGCTCACAAATCCATGTGGCCATAGCGGTTCCCACTGATTTCATCCAGTTCTTTGTCTCGTAAGCAGAGGGGCTTTCAGCGTCTCAGCAAGTCATGTCTTATCTGCCGTCCTGCAAACTCAAGAATTTCTGTTCGTTACTGATTTCTTTAACTCTTTGGAGCACGGTTTCAACAGGGCATGTCATATTATTCTCAATTTTCTGCAACTAGGAAAAGGGGCTGGAGAGCATCCACCAAACCTCGGGATGTTAAAGCGTACAAGTGCCCTGGGGCATCCACAGTCTGTCCCCTTCTTCCCATCTTCTTCATCAATATTTCCCTTATTTAAAATCTAATACTGTATCAGTGGCTCTGAAAGGAACATTTTAATATCCTTGGTTAGAATCCTCAACTTAGAAACATTTCTTAATTAAATTAAAAGAATTAAAATAAAAGAATTGGGAGTAAAGGGAGAGACCTCTTCCAGATAAATATTTATTTATTGATTGATTGATTGAGACAGATTCTCTCCTGTCCCCCAGGCTGGAGTGCAGTGGCGTGATCTCAGCTCACTGAAATCTTCGCCTTCTGGGTTCAAGTGATTCTCCTGCCTCAGCCTTCTGAGTAGCTGGGATTACAGGCTCTCACCACCATGCCCAGCTAATTTTTGTATTTTTAGTAGAGACCGGGCTTTACCTTGTGGGCCAGATGGTCTCCAACTCCTGATCTCAAGTGATCCGCCTGCCTCTGCCTCCCAAAGTGCTGAGATTACAGGTGTGAGCCACTGCGCCAGCCTTACTGCTATATATATATATATTTTTTGAGATGGAGTCTCACTCTGTCTCCAGGCTGGAGTGCAGTGGTGGGATCTCAGTTCACTGCAACCTCTGCCTCCCAGGTTCAAGCAATTCTTCTGCCTCAGCCTCCTGAGTAGCTGGGACTACAGGCAAGCATCCCCCACCCCAGCTAATTTTTGTATTTTTAGTAGAGATGGGGTTTCGCCATGTTGGCCAGGATGGTCTCAATATCTTGACCTTGTGATTGGCCTGCCTCGGCCTCCCAAAGTGCTGGGATTACAGGTGTGAGCCGCCTCACCCGGCCTATGGTTATTTTTTGATTGCGGTAAACTACACATAACATACAATTTACTGTCTTAGCCATTTTTGAGTGTAGGGTTCAGTGGCATTAAGCACATTCAAATCTTTGTACAACTATCACCACCACCCTGCTCCAGAACTTCTCATCACCCCGCACTGAAACGACGCAGTGGGTGTAGGTGGGCTCTCACTGAGGTTTTACTTTGCATTTCCCTAATGATGAGTGACGCTGAACATCTTTTCAGGAGCTGATTGGTCATTTGTAGATCTTCTTGGAAATTTTTCCATTCAAGTTTCTCATTGTTTTTTTCTAGTGGAGTTTTTTTGTCATTGAGTTTTTATACATTCCCGATACTATTCCTTTATCAGATACATGATGTGTGAATATTTTCTCCCGTTCTGTGGGTTGCCGTTTTACTCTGTTGATAAGAGTCCTTTGACGATTTTAACTGTGATGAAATCCAATTTATCTGTTTTTAAATTTTGTTGCCTGGTTTCGTACCTGGGAAATCATTGCTAAATCTAATTCATGAAACTTTTGCTTGAGTTTTCTTCTAAGAGCTTCATAGTTTCAGCTCTTATATTTAAGTTTTTGATCTACTTTGAGTTAATTTTTGTATAAGGTATGAATGTGCTTGACAAATATTTGATTGAATGAATAAACCACAAAATCCGGTGCTAAGATTTCGTGATGAAAAAGACCATAAAAGCTGGAAGACAGTGGGGGTGAAACATGACAATGTCTCTGCCCCATGGGGACCTATGCTCTAGCCTGAGACATTTATTCTTTGTCCTGTTTTTTCTCAACTGTGATCTGTGAGTGAATCCACATTTTTTTTTTTTTTTTTTTTTTGAGACAGAGTTTCACTCTTGTCATCCAGGCTGGACTGCAATGGCACGATCTCATCTCACTGCAACCTCTGCCTTCCAGGTTAAAGCAATTCTCATGCCTCAGCCTCTTGAGTAGCTGAAATTACAGGCACGTGCCACCACACCTGGCTCATTTCATCCACACATTTTGACCCAGAGTTCACTGTCTAGCAATGGAATCAAAACACCCTGTGCAGCCACTTATTCTCTGTTCCTTTCTCTCACTGAACAGAGCCCTGATTTTACTCCTGGCAGTAATTACTCCAGCTAAGATGACATCTCTCAGCCTTGCAGAAGAAGTCACTGGATTTCCAGGGAGCTGCATAGGCAGGGAAGGGCTTCAAGGTGTGATCATTTCTACTTTCCACTTTCTCTATGTTTAAAGCAATGTCAAGACTTCCAGATCCTGAGGTGACCTCGAGAATGAGAGCTTTTGGTCAAGAAATACCTAGAAGAGAGATAGACACACACACACACACACACACACACACACACACAGAGAGAGAGAGAGAGAGAGAGAGAGAGAGAGAGAGAGAAGCCTGGCTCCCTGGAAATGATTTTCCAGGCTTCAAATGCCTATCAGGACATCTTTTAAGGAGAGAAAGACAAAATCCCTACTTCCAGAAGCCTTGATGGGGGTCTGAGTGGGAAGAAGGGCTTCTCTGCTTTTTGACCAAAGGAAATTCATGACCCCTCATTTCTAATATGACTAAAAAAATTTACCATCCAAAAATGTCTTCAATTTTTTTGCTTCTAAATATAAAAGTACAAAACAAGCCTAGTATATGTTTGAATTTTTGACATACAGTCATATACCAAATAATGACATTTTGGTGAATGGTAGACCAAATGACAGACCAATACCATAGCTACCTGGGGGGCTGAGTACCTATTCTACATTCTACATTGTTGGATTCCATCTGCTGATTTTTTAGTAAACATTTTTGTGTCTGTGTTCATGAAGGGTATCGGTCTGCAGTTTTCTTTTTTTGCAATGGCCTTACCTGGCTTTGGTTTCAAAGCAATGCTTGCTTCATAGACAGAGTTGGAAAGCGTTATCCCCCTTGAGTTTTCTAGAACTACCTGTGCAGAATAGGAACTACTTCTTAAAAATGTAAAAACCATTCTTAGCTCTCCAGGATGTACAGAAACAGACCCGGCTCTGGTTTGTTGACCTTCAGGTAAAGCTTAGGTCGTTGAAACTTATTTTTATCTTACGTAAAATATTGCAATATTCCGTAAAAGGAGCTTTGCCTAGGCTCCTGAGTAATAACCTATTTAGGAACTACAGGCTGACAGTTACTTTCGGGAAAGAACTTTTGGAGATGATTCAGGAGATCTTTCCCCAAGGCCGCAGATAGGCCTGTGTTGCACAAGTAGGGAAAATCACTTGACATCGCTTTGTCTGGAGGTGCCCCCACCTCTAGTGACTGATCTCTTGGCCACTTAGGGACAGGAAGGCTTAAATACAAAACGGGGCATGGAGTTTCTCAAATGGGCATTGACAGCCTCCAGGACGTGGATGGTGTCCTTTGAGATCTGTTGAGTTCTCAACAAATAGGTCATAATCTGGCATTTCCATCTGGCAAGCTAAAAGAGAAAAATTAGGCACCTATTTTGGTCATTTGAATGGAGCCATCTAGACTAGAGATGCTCTGCTGGGACCGGCCCTGACTCTCCTCCGCACCCCTGTCCCCACTCAGTGCCTGGGTTCACGGAGCGCACTCAGTTACAGGTCCTGGCTCTCCTGCGCTCCCCTGGTTCCCACTCAGTGCCTGGGTTCACGGAGCACGCTCAGTTACAGGCCCTGACTCTGGCCACCACTCCTGCTCTCGCTGGTGGCCACTTCATAGCCAACAGTGCTGTGTAATTTCAGTGACCAAAACCACGTCTGTGGACTCATCTATACCAAGTAATAGACTTTCATTGTCTTGGGCTTGTATTGTGAGCGATGCCCTCAAGCCCAGGAAAGCATCTGCAGCGATTTGAACAGGGAAGCGTGAGGGGGATGAGAGTCCTCCACGGGGCCCACAGCCTCAGAAACACACACGTGGAGGCTGTTGGGGCGCGCTTGCTCTACCGGGCAGGTTATTTGCAGCAAAACATCATCTTCACGTCAGGTAAGTGTGGATTTGGATTTAGTTGGTTTTGCTTTATTTTTGATCTAATACGTGAGTTTCGGTTTAGTAGTTATGTAAGAGGAATTGATACCTGATTTTATGTTTATACATATTTAAGTAGCACTAGGTTCAAAATAATCAAAGTCACCACTGGGGAACCATGAGAATTTTGCTTTCCTTTAAAAGATATCTGTATATTCAAGTTTGAGGAATACTGACAGGAATTCCATCTGGACCGGGTACACTGGCTCCCCAGGCCTGCAATCCAGTGTTTTGGGAGGCTTAGGCAGGAGGATCGCTTCAGCCCAGGAGTTTGAGAACAGCTTGGGCGATATGAGGAGACTCTGTCGCTACAAAAAATAATAAATAAGTTGGGCGTGGTGCTGCACACTATAGTCCCAGCTATTTGTGGAGGCTGAGGTGGGCAGGGGGATCACTGTAGCCAGGCACCAGAGTGGGACCGTGTCTAAACAGACTTACATCTGCAGCTGTGGGTTTTGAGATGAACCTGTTCTTCTTGCCTTGGGCCGTCCTGTTAGTGTGACTCCTTTTGTCACCAGGAATCAGAATCTGAGTGGCAGCTCCCAGACTTAGGGGCAAGTTGGGACTCTTGGTCTGTGACAACCTGTTCTCTGAGCCGTGACCTCTGGGTTTTTGTTTACAATCTCCAGGGAAGGGCGTGCTTTGCAAGAGGGACCGAGCTTGAGTGGTCAGGACGCCCCAGTCCTGCTTCGACGAAGCCGACAGATGTGGAAAGCCTCTGGTTTGCGGATTTTACAAGTAAGGACAGTTTCCTTGTGAGTTTTTTCTTCATTTTAAAATAAAACTCTGCAAAATACTCAGGGTACTTTTTTTTTTTTTAAGCTAACGTGCAATCTCTAAATGAGATTCTCATTTCCAGAAGAGGGAAACAGGTATTGCCATGGGTTTTTCTCATTCTCCGGTCTTATTCTAAAGCCTGGTGGTGGTGGGGTGTCCAGGAGGGTGCAGATTTTGAGTGGGTCCTGCTGGTTTTCAGTTATGTCTCTGCGAGTGCCAGCTTGGTGGTGTGGGCGCCTTGGGGAGCTCCCTGAGCTAACCGCACGTTATATGGATCACATTACCAGCCACTGACCGGAGTCTGGGTGGTCCCGGGTTGCTGGCACCCTGTTGGGTTGGCATCTGATGGCGAGTAGGGCAGCGTGGCCTTTGCCGCATGGAGCTTCCCATCTGCAGAGGAAGGCAACTGAGAATCGAGTCAGTGGACAGCTCACTGCAGAAGCGCCTGGTGTTGGAAGTACTCAGTGGAGCATTGAACGCTTCCTTCCCGGCTCCTGCCCAGGGTGTGATGGCTGTCCTGAGCATCGGGGTTTACTTCCTTTCCAAAGGGCTTTGCGGGACGTGGCCCAGGAGGGACTCTGGTGTCAAATTTGGCCTCAGGAGCTCAGCTGGCCGGGGTGATGCCTGCACCCCTGCCCACGCTTCTCAGGGAGAATGGGCTTGCCTGCCTCGTTTCCTGCCTCCTCTCCTAGACGCTTTGTTCGGCTTTCAAGTTCTTGCACAAGCAGGTTTGTGTCGGCCACGCCCCGGGGAGGAGCCACCGGATCACCACCGTCAGCAGCCTGTTCCCGGCGGCCTCTCTGGCTTCCCTAAAGAGGGCAGGTGGGCATCCTCGTTGCTGGGGGACGCATGGCGCTGTGGCGTCTGTGTCTGTGTCACGTGGTTCCCTGTGACTCAGAACCCTCTGCCAGTAGCCTCCCTTGAGACCAGAAGCCAGAGCTCACCCTGCTTTGTGTCCAGGTGGAATTTTCTGCAATGCTGCTGTGCACGACGTGGATGCTATATGCATGTTGCTGGGGGAAGCCACTCTGGACGCTGTGTTTTCTCTGGGACATGCCTTCTGCCCAGGTGAGAGGGCGCTTCACTGTTTCAGGGTGCTCCCATGGCCACCAAGGATGGTTGGAATTGCAGCACAGGCTGGAGACCCTGTTCAAGATTCCTGCCCCGCCCTCAGCTTTGGGCGACAGATAAGTAACATGGAACATGTGTTAAAAAAAAAACAATGACTAAATAGTCATGTCACTGAATCCCTCAGAGAGTGCCCAAGGCTGAAAGGCGTCATGCAGGAAGTGTTTCCTGTTCAGTGAATTTGAGAGTCACTGTTTAGTGACCATTTCTTCAGCCCCTGCTATGTGACAGGCCGCCCGTAGTTTCTGAGGTTGCAAAGGTGAACAAAACGATGTCTGTGGCTGGAATTCGCAGGTTGGAATGTGCACAGATTAGGGGATCATCAGTGAGCACTGGGCGAATACGGGGCTGGGGATGCTGGTTCCCAGGTCCTGGCCCTGCAGCAGAAGCTCAGGGTGGGTCCTGAGGGCTGCTGAAGATGACAGATTGTCTGTTGCTTTATGACACACCGTGCACGTATCACGGCTTGAAACGGCAGCCACCAGGTAGCTAGGATTCCACAGCCTGGACTGGGCTTGGCTGAAGCCCCTCTTGTGGTCTGCCCAGTGTCACTCATGTGGCTGCAGCCAGCTAGTCAGCGTCCTGTCTGGAACAGCTCCGCCAGGGTCACAGGGCCAGGCCCGCTGTCACCTGTGTCGCCTCCAGGCCTCTCCCCGCCCATGTCTCCCCACGCCTCCTCAGGTCCCCACAGCAGCGTGGCCACACATTTGATGGCCTCAGGGCACCAAAGTGGAAGCGCTCAGATGTCCTGAGGCTTGGGCCCGACGGAGGTGTGCCTGTTACACCACACCTCACGCACTGGCTCCTCTCAGTGCCTGCTTCACTCTGTCTCATCAGCATCCCCCTTGATACCGCCTCCCCCACCTGCCCAAAGTTCACCCACGCCCCCCGTCCTGCTGGCCACCACCTTGTTCCTGGCCATGTCCTCATTTTGGCTGTGGTCATCTGCCTGCATTCTCTTCCCTGTGAGACCTCAGTCGGACCAGGTGCCAGCCTGCTCTGAGCTCTCCAGAGCGCAGGTGGAGGCCATGGTCTACACTGACCCTCGGGCCTGTCACCGGGAGCGGGTCATGGCTTCAAATGGTCCGGTTCTTGGCGTTTTGAACAAATAACTGGACAAAACGCCCAGCAAGGCAAGGAAAGAATGAAGCAATAGAAGAAGAAAGCAGGGGTTTATTGACAGTGGAATCCACTCCACAGTGCGGGAGTGGCCGAGGGCAGCAGCTCAAGCGCCGGGACACAGGACCTTCTTGGGTACAGACACCCCTGCAGGTCCCCCATCGGCCACTTCACAGTGCTGCAGGAAAGCGGTCAGAGGCAGGGTGAGTGACCAAGTTATACTTCTATGCACACGGAGACTCCTCCGGGATCAGTCTGATGGGTGCGGACGGTGGCCGTTCAGAGGCTGGAGGGAAGTTACCAAGCTGCAAACCCGCAGTCGTCAGATTTGTTGCAGACAGCCAGTTCCCATCTGCCACAGGAGAGGTGAGCCGTTCGCAAAGGGAGTAGCCTCTGGTCCTTTTGTTACTTAGGAGTGGAAAGTTAGGGTTTCCCTTCAATTCAGTTCTAGAAAGTCGGTGTGAAGCAGCCTGTTTCCCTGCCTCCAGACCCTGATCTCCTGCCTCAGGCCCACAGGTGCCGCCCCACCCCGAACCCCACTGGCCCCTTGTCTCCTTGCTCTTCCTCAGAAGGCCAAAGTTCCTGTCTGGGCCTGCTCCCTGGGCGGGGACATGGGGACGGGCTCTGCTCAGCTCATGGCTGCACCCCCAGGGTCCAGAAGGTGCTTGGGCCCCAAGCACCGATGCCACAGAAGCTTGGCAAACGTGGAAGTGGACTCCTCACTGGGCAGTGCCCCTGCCTCTCAGGCACCTATTCTGGAACAGCTTATTTTTCTATTAAGGACCAGTTTCTGTATAATTACTTGGCTCTGCCTTTCATCCATTGCTTCAGGTAAGGCAGTGAGTTCAGGCCGGGCATGGTGGTAATCCTAACACTGTAGTCCTCGCACTATGGGAAGCTGAGGTGAGCGGATTACTTGAGGTCAGGAGTTCGAAACAAGCCTGGACAACATGGTGAAACTTCATCTCTACTAACAATACAAACAAATTAGCCGGGTGTGGTAGTGGACACCTGTAATCCCAGCTCGAGAGGCTAAGACAGGAGAATTGCTTGAGCCTGGGAGGCAGAGGTTGCAGTGAGCCAAGATCGTGCCACTGCACTCTAGCCTGGGCGACAGAGCAAGACTGTCTCAAAAACAAAACCAAGCAAAAGAGGTTATAATTTGCCAAAATTAACTTTTGTATCATCTAAAGTTTTCTTCTGCTTAGACATGGCCTCATTAAAAGATGCAGATGCTGTTGGGATGAGCATGAAGTTTCCCTGTGGGGCTGTGGGCAGCGTGGACGTCAGCCAGCACTGTACGGACAGCTGTGACCAGAGATTGGAGATGACCTCCCTGCCCTTTTCCACCCCTCACCAGTCCACTGTGAGAAGCCGGGTTGATTTTGCAGGTTAGATAGAGGTCACCACCTGGCCACCCTCAGCCGGGTTGATTCTGCTGGTTAAATAAGGCCATCACCTGGCCACTCTCAGCCGGGTTGATTGTGTGGGTTAGATAGAGGCTGTCACCTGCCACCCTCAGCCAGAGCATCTGTGGGCACCTGTGCATAGTCAGTGCTCAGTAAATATTTGCTTGAATTTTCTGGTGGGAGACGCGTCTTCCATGTTTGGATGGGAGCCCCTTCTCTGGCCTCTGTGCCTCCGAGAGCTGATTTGTGGCCGTGGCTTTCCTTTATGTTGGCTGTTGTTCCACAGAAGCTTCCGTGGCTGTTACACAGAAAGCCGCTGTTGGTCACGGTGTGCCATGGGAAGCGATAAAGACGGTCCTGGAAAGTCCTGACACACGCCATGTGTCACCCACCCACACGCCCCATCCCCACCACAAAACCCCCTCGTGGTGCTGAGTCATCACTGCCAGGAGGCCCCTGCCCTCCCACCTGCCACGCTTAGCCTGGTTAACGCCTGTTTTACAATGGCTCCCAGGTGCGTGGGTCCCAGATGGAGAATCAGAATCCCTTGGGCATCACCGGTCGGGGCACATCCCTGTCCCTCTGCTTGCAAAGCCAGGCTAGCTGCTACCAGGAATCATATCGAGAGCTCTTCAGACACTTTGTCAGAACACTTAAAGGGGGGTGAAGTTCTCAGGAGGACACTGGGGTGTCCTGATGGTCGACGGGAGATGCCTTCCAGGCTGCAGTCAGTGCAGACGATATGCCAATTTCAGGTGGAAAATCGCGTTCTGGATACCAGGTTCAGATCTGCAATTGTCCATCCCAGTGATCATTTGCGTTACACGTACTTGAGGGAGGTTCTGAGATGCCCGTTTGGGGTTCTGTGGATGTACCCTGTTCCTTGACGTCCTAAGAAGTGTTCTTGACTCTGAGGTTTAGAAAACGACAGTGACTCCCTCCTGAGCTCTGGTGGATATCCTGTGTCCTGGAAGATGGGACATCTTCTACCCTCTGTCAGTCCTGGGGGTGACTGGGAACAGGGAGGCTGAGCAGAATTCCTGGATCTGGGTCGGGCTTGTTCAAGAGGGCGGGGTGGGCCTCCCTAGAGCCGGCGGCCCCTGCCCGTTCCCCAGCAAGACGAAGACCGGCCCCCATGTGTTGGCTTCAGTCCTGAATCTGTGCAAATGTGCCTCGTGTGAAGGGAAAGAGCCTCCTGAAATCACCAAAGAGCAGTTCCTCAGGGCCTCTGGGTGCCGTGGCCGCGGAGCAGTCGTGGTGGAACCGGCCAGCTGTGGACCTGCCCTGCGAATCGGCAGAGGCCTCCGAGGTGAAGACGGAAGCCCCGTGAACCAACCCGAGGCTGGAGCCCAGACGCTGCTCCTATCCACTTGCCTGTTTCACTTCTCGCTGCTACTGAGAGAGGGAGATGGAACCTTCCAGGGACCTTGTCCTCACTGGAAACTCAGACGGGGTGGCACTGGGAAACCATGTCTGTTTCATTGCTGGTATAACCAGGCTTTTCAAGATGTGACTTCACACCGAGGGACACGAGTAGGGCTTGCTTGCCCGTTTTCTGTGTGTGCAGGCCCGGTAAAGAGATGCTTTTCCGGTCAGGGTTCCCCGGGTGGAGCCTCGGAGTCTCCGGTTGGCTCTCAGGAAGAGGGCAGGTCAGGGGTTGGACGGGGTAAATGGACCCGGAAACCTGCTTTTCTGTGGCAAACAGGGCCAAGGGCCGGTGAAGCTCTAAAGACTAAACGTTGCGTGTGTGTGAAGCAGACTGCAGGTCTCCTGAGGCCTTTTTTGGGGTAATCACACCAGTATTTAAAGAAGAGTTTTCTTGAAGCATCTGATTTTGTGCCTAGTAATGACACAGCACCATTTCCGGGAAGTAGGAGCGATCCACGTGTGGGGTGAAAACCCGTCTTCCGTTCCTCTTGCCTGAATCTGGGTGTGGAATGAATGGTGCTGTTTTCCCCCCACAGGGCCGGGGGGGTCTTTTGGGAACAGGCCTCCTGCTTTCCTGTTTGCAGCGGGTCGGGGGGACCTTCCTTCGGAGGGCAGCGCCTTGCGGAGTGGACTTGCCCGGGTCCGCTTAGCCTTCCAAAGCGATGTGCGGAGCCTACTGGAGGCGTTTTCACATATTTGAAAATAATGGCCTGTATTTCTCATGCTGTACTTAAAAAAAAAATGACTTCTTAAACAAAGGTATTCAGTTCACCCTTGTGTGGAAACACTCATTTCTGTGTTCATTCCTGAAAGGGCCTTTTAGCGTCCCCGCGTCTCCTTTCTGCGCGGCAGCCTCTTGCCGAGGAAACCTCCCACGTCCCCTCCCCTCGTCCTGAGTTTGAGGCCTCAGCACTTTTGTGATCCAGAGTTCTGTAGCTGGGGGTGGGTGGGGGCTGGGGGGGAGGCACGCTGCCTCCCAGTCACCCTCACTGGACATGGGGACAGGTAGGAGCCAGGGAAAGTGGCGAGCCGGCTGTGGCGTGCGGGCGTGCGTGCCAGCCTGGAAGGCGGGGCTCACCTCCGTGCCCCTCACCGGTGGGGGACCCGGCATCTCTCCCACTCCCCTTGGTTCTATCATTGTTTCAGGCCAACTTTTGAAAAGACTGAGGCCTCCCTCGAGGTTGAACAGATTTCCAGAGTGTGACTGTTGCCGTGACGGGTCCCTAGTCCCATGTTCAAGAAACGGAGAAACCTGAGAACCAAGAGAACTGACACGAAGCCGTTTGGCCGCAGCCTGGCTCGAGCCCACACGAGGCTCCAGCTGCCTTTTGTTTTCTTAGGTTTTGCTGAGAAATGAAAGTGTGTTCTGTGAAGGTGTTTGCGACACCCTGAGATGCTGTGTGGCCTTTCTAAAGTCCAGAAAGCCTGGGTCCCACAGGGCTTGATGAGGGGTCTGGGGCCTGCAGCCTGCCCTTCGGGAGGCCTGAGAGGCGCGGTCAGCCCCGTGAGCCACCTGGCTCGGCCCGCAGGTCCTTCGAGGCACAGGGCAGAGGGACCCCTGGGGACCCATCAGACTCACTGACGACAGAGAAGCTCAGGTGGGCCCCAGGGCCACTGTGGAGGCTGCAGGCTTCCCGCCTGTGAGGACCCGCCCTGTGTGTGTCTGAGCCCCTCGGAGATGGAGGTTTAGTCACGAGAGCCGGTCATTGGAACAGATGCTTTATTATGTTACAAAAACCAAAATCCCCACTGAAACACAGCTAAAAAAATAACACATTTTCCCAAGATTACATTACCAAAAGCAGGCGTTGTGTTTCGGGAGGGCGTCCATTAATACTGCTCGGAGAAGCACTGTCCAACAGGGAAAGCACAGGTGGGATTTCGTCTTCACCTGAAGGCATGGAAGTAACAGGAGTGGCTGTTTGTGCGTCGGAGACACTGACTGTTCCAAGCGACAAGTGGCTCTGTGCCCGGATCCCGCCAGCCGGGCCCCTGGGTACAGCGAGGGCCTCCCGCAGCCAGGCTGGTGGGAACGCTGCGGGAACGGGGCAGAGTCGCTGTTTCTCACCAAACCAACTTGGGCAGACGTGAGCTGACCCGTCTGGTCAGCTCCTGCCCGGCCTCTGAGCGGACTCAGGACCACCACCCGTCCCCCAGCTCCAGGAGGGCCAGCGGCCTCCCTCCTGCCCCTGCCCTGCTGGGAAAACTGTCCACCTTCAACACGTGTTTGTTGATTTGTGTAGTTTTATAAAACACGTTGCTTCAAGGGTTCTCGCTCCTGGCAGTTCGCATTTTCTCCTGACCGTGGCGAAGTCTTGACTGTTTACTCCCACGGCTGCTTCTCCAGGCTGGCTCCCTGGACACGTGCAGCTGGGCCATCTGGCTGCTCCGTGCTCCGGCCGGCTTCCTTGGATGTCTGGCTGGGCTTCCAGTGACAGCTGCCCCTGGGGCCTCTTCCTGCTCTGTGCCATCCCCCCCCCACCTGTCCAGCCCTTCCCAGGAGCACACTGCAGGGGCTCTTGGGACAGCCCCACTGGACTCGGTGGACAGGGAACGTGCCTAAGAAACAAATCAACTAGCCCCTGGAATTGAAGCATGTCTGTGCTGGGCTGGGGCACCCCGGGTGTCGGAATGGCCTCCGCAGCTCCTGAAGTGGAGCACAGGGGCGGAGTGGGGGCTCCAGCGTGTGGCCTCGGGCAGCAACTGCCCAACCCCAGCCTAGCTCCCAAGAGATGAGCGTGATGCCTGGGGCATAGGACTCAGCCTTTTTGGCCTCAGTTTCCTCATCTACAAAATGGCAATAAGAGGGGGAGCTCAGGTGACAAGCAACTGGGGCAGCTGTGCCCCCCCAGGAAAGCCCTGAGCCCACTGCTGCTGCTGACTCGTGTCCTGGGTGTGGCACTTTTCTAGGGAGATGGAGCCCTAGAAGCTGAGTGGCCAGAGCCTGCCCTTCGGCTGGAAGGAGCTGGATGGGAGGACCAGGCGGGACCACCCTGGCTGCAGCCAGATCCCATGGCAGTGACAGCCCCGTGCCTGCTGCCCCCACAGAGGTGCACCCAGGCAGCTGTGCCAGCTCCCTGTGTCAGTGGCCCCAGGAGGTGGACGGTGGGGGAGAGGGACGCCTGAGTCTTCCTAGACCAGGCATCTGCAGCAACACCAGACTTTTTTTTTTTTTTTTTTTTTTTTTGAGACGGAGTTTCGCTCTTGTTACCCAGGCTGGAGTGCGATGGCGCGATCTCGGCTCACCGCAACCTCCGCCTCCTGGGTTCAGGCAATTCTCCTGCCTCAGCCTCCTGAGTAGCTGGGATTACAGGCACGTGCCACCATGCCCAGCTAATTTTTTATATTTTTAGCAGAGACAGGGTTCCACCATGTTGACCGGGATGGTCTCGATCTCTTGACCTTGTGATCCACCCGCCTTGGCCTCCCAAAGTGCTGGGATTACAGGCTTGAGCTACGGTGTCTGGCAACACCAGACTTTTAAATAAAGGGAGGCTGGTGACAGCGATGCCACTTAGCAAGATGAAGTCCTAACCTGGGGCCCAGCCCGAGGGCGTTGTGTGTAACCTTGCTGTCCTGTAGGGGACTTAACTGCTGCTTTTGGGAGACGTTAGCAGGGGAAGCTCCTGCCCGAAGGAGCCGATGCCGCATGTACCCTGGGCAGGGGGTGCACAGCTTGCCCACTGGCCCACCTGCCCGGAACGGAGGGCTCCCGTGGGGGCTCTGGTTCCCTGCACTAGAGCTGCGCTCCTGACGGTCAAGCTCTGGCCACCGAGGCTCAGGCGGCCCCTTGTGGATGGAAGTGGCTCCAGCAGGGGCCGGTGCAGGCGCCGTCTCCTCGGGGCCCTAACTCCCTGGGGTGCTCCAAGAAGGCCTAGACCCCCCAGCACCTATCTCGGTTTGTCTCCTGACTGCTGCTGCCTTCTAGAAAGCAATGCCCTCCGGACCTTGTGATGATAGGGAAGGTGGGCTCCGGAGGCAGGAGCTGCCCCCTGGCAGAGCGGTCCTGCGGATTTGCCTGGGTTTGCCCTTCCCGGCGTTCCCTCCAGGCTTCCTTCCCACCCGGCCTTCCTGAGGACAAGTTCCCGTCTGCCTGGCTTCTCACTCAGCTTTCTCAGCCCGGCTCATGGGCACTAGGCTGAACTCAAGGGAATGTTGAGAAAGTTAAAAAAAAAAAAAAAAAAAAAAAGCTGCCCCACCATGTAGAAAAGTGGATCAGTTTATGAAACATTGACAATTTCCAGTCCTCCAAGGACAGGCTGTCCCTGTCTGCTGAGGGGCCCCGAGGAGAGGCTAGTGTGGCTGGGCAGAGGGCGCTGGCTGAGGCGGCCCCAGCTGCTGCCCGCGCCCGGGATGGGTGGCGCCCTCCCCAGTTCTCTCCAGTTTCAGCAACACTGTCGATTGGGGCAGGAGGGGTCGGTCCTGCAGAATACAGTATGCTGGGGGCAGAGAGGCCTGTCCCAAGTCTGGCAGAGAGTCCCCAGCCCCCAGCGCAGGGGAGACGCATTCCCTGAAAATACGTGTGTTTCAGATACAGTCACTTGGCTGGTCACTGCTATCCAGAACCAAAAGATGTCACAAAATACTTTTTGGCAGTCCGTCAGCGAAGGAGATCCTTTCCTTTGGGAGGACCTCACTTGACAGAGTCCCTCGGATGAGGCCTGAGGACGGAGCTGACATTGCAGGCCCCACCCACGCCCACCACGGAGCCCACGGGCAGCGGCAGGGCTGAGAGAGGGGGTCGGCCCCTGCCCCACAGCTCCAGAAGGTTCCACAGGCAACTCAGGCCATCCTGGGCAGGTGGCTTTGGGGCAGGGCCTCTCCCGGGGCCGGGGAAGCGCCTGGGGATGGCCGGACCTGCCTTTTCTGGGCACAGCCGAAGGCCCTGCCTCCTGAGGCCGTTTTGGAGGAGAGGGGCGGCAGCTCGGGTCTCTGCGGCTTGGCCCGGCCGGGGCCCTCAGTGGATCTCCGCCTCCGCGAACTCCTCCTTGATGGGCTGCTTGCGGGCCTTGCAGTCCGGCAGGTCAAAGCCGAAGTCTGCCCACTCGTCGGGGCCCCCGGGGCCGCCGCGGTTGGGGATGGTGATGGTGTGGCGCACGCGGAAGTGCACGGCCTCCATGACCCGCTGGCGCTGCAGCTCCCCGGAGCTGCCGATGGAGATGGTGGCCGCGTTGCTGGAGCGGAGCAGCTGCTGTGCGGCGCCGTAGTCCTGGCCCTGCTTCAGGTCCTGCAGGCCCCGCCAGATGGTCATGCGGTACTGCTCGGGGATCTTCAGGGCCCCCAGATCCTGCGAGAGGCCGGCGCTTAGGGGCAGGGGCAGGGAGCGCAGGGAGGGGCCGCCGCCCTGGGCCCGGTGGTCCGGCCACAACACACCCTGGCCCTCACATCCCCAACCAGAGAGGGCAGGAGAGGGGACATGGTGGAGGGAGAGCAGCCACCAAGGCCACTCCTGGCCTGTGCGGGGCCTGGGCCCTGGCCTCAGGCCTTTAGACGTGGAGCCCCTGGGCATCCTCCCGGCCCTGGGGGATGATGACCTGCCTCCCAGGCTCTGGCCAGAGCCCTCCGTGGTCTCCATGTCCCTGACCCCCAGCTCATCCCTGAGCTCCCAACGCCCTCTGGGCGCCACAGCAAGCACGCACATCACCCAAGGGAGGCAAGGGTTAACGTGTGACGTGGAGCTGGCTTAGCGTAGGTCACTGGGGACAGGGCGGGAGAGGTTCGTGGACACAGATGCAGCCAGCCCCTGCATGAAAGACAGTTAGGCTGAGCAGCTGGCCCCAGCTCACACTGACAAACCCTCGTCTCTGTCTGCAGCCCCGGGCTGGGGATGGTTTGGGACGGGCCTTGGACTAGGCAGTGCCACCGGCTAGGGGTGGGCTCCCGGGGGGGGCTGGTTCTTCCTTGGCCGACAGTGCCCTGTGGCTCCCACGGTCCTAGGCTCTGAGCAAGCCTTTGTACACCACGAGTCTCACGTAACCCAAAGGCAAGCCATGGCTGTGGGATCAGCTGTCACAGGTGCCAAGAGCTGTGTGGCCTCGGGCCGGCCGCTTGCCTTCCCTGGGTCCCCTTTCCTTCCTGTGTGAATGACACTGAGCTAGATGGTCTCTCTCGGGCCCTTACATTCTTTTGTCCTTTGTGCCTTGAAAACAGTCCACCTCTAAAATCAAAGGCACGCTGACTGCTGGGAGTCTGAAAAGGCCAGAATGATCAGTTCAGCATCGGAGGCCTGGGTATGTGTCCCACACACCAGCCATGCCTGGCTGCACCTGCCTAAGCTCCGAGAGTCAAGTCCTTACATCTGCTTGCCCGTGGGAAAGGGTATCCAAGTTTCCCAGCCATGAGAGCCAAGAAGAGAAAGCTCTTTGCCCTCCAGACAGGGTCCCCTCCAGCCACTGCCTGTGCGGAGCGGGGCCTCCCGGGTGCTTACCTCGATGGTCAGGTTCTGCAGGTGGTAAATGCTCTGCAACCCTTGGGAGGTGAAATACTCGATGCAGTTTGGACACCCTAATCCTGTTAAAAAACTGCAGGGAGAATTTGAAAAAGGAAGCAGCATCAGCTTCCCAGCACGCAGCTGTGCGAGCCCCTCTCTGGGACTGGCCTGGCTGGGGCGCAGACTGCCACTGTCTCCGAAGGGTGGCTCCAGCCCACCAGTGGCCACGGCTCCCTCGGGCAGGGGACGTGCTCAGCGGCGTGGGGGGGTTGGGGTGTCAGCGGAGGACCCCGGCTTTTTGTGCTTTTCTTCTAAGTGGCCCGTGGCCCCAGTGTCTGCTGAACGCTCCTGGCCTGACTCCCCCACCCGCCTGTCTGATCCAGGGTTGCAAGTGGTGAGTCCACAGGGTGGGCGGGGCAGCCGACATGGCGGGAAGCACAGAGGTAACAGCGCACACCCGGGGCCCTCGGCAGCCCACGCACCTGACAAGGCTGGGGTCGGCGTGGTAGGGGGGTGGTGGAGTGCAGTGGGGCCCCGAGAGCATGGCCTGGGCGCTGTGGCCGCTGTTGATGTCACCGTTGGTCGGTGCGGTGTGGCTGTGATTGTTCAGCATCCCGGGGCCTGGGTGAGAGGCCGTGGGGGGTGTCAGGGGAGCTGGGCCAGGCGTCCAGGTGCAGGCTTCACCCAGGCTCCCGACACCTTAGACACTGGGGAGCCACCCAAGGCCTGGCGATGCTTGGCATCACCCCAGCCAGCTGGAGGCCCGAGGAAGGACTGAACGCCGGAGCCTTGTCTCCTAGCCCTGCCTAGTAGAGACTGGGGTGACCGTGCGGATGGGGCACTGGGTCCTAACGGCAATCACAGATGGCACTGCAGTGCTGGCCACACCCCAGGGCCTCAGGACATACCTGGGGGTGCGTGCTCTCAGCACTGGGAACGTGCCTGGTCCTGCCCACATGAGGACCTTCCAGGCGAAGGGGCCCAACCCTATCCTGGGGAGCCCCCGGCTGGCTTGTGCTGGGGCCCCTGACGAGCTATTGTACCATTTAATCCTCACAAGGAGTGAGCCTTCTGTGATACTTCTGTGGCCATTTACTGATGGGGAAACTGAGGCTGTGTAATGTTAAGAACCTTCCCCAAGCTCCCCACCAAGAGGCTGTGCAGGCGTGTGGGTTCCACGCTCTTAACCATGCCCCGCTCCACCTCCCACAGCCAGGAGTGGGCACAGCGGGCTGCCTGTGGCTGGGCCTCCCGCCCACAGGGTGGAGCGACTGGAGGGAGCCAGCCACAGAGAGATCGGCGACTGGTCCCGAGCTGGGTGGAATGCCCTGAGCCAGGCCCTCCCATTGGGCCTCCCCCCGCTGCCTGTGGGCCCCCACTGCCCCAGGGACTCACCCACAGGCCCCAGGTTGGGCGTTGCAGCTGAGCTGTGCGGGGGAGGCTGGCCCACCAGTTGGTTGACAGAGGGCAGCTTGGTCATGCCCCCGTGCACCTTGTTCACGGGCGAGAGGACTGGCCCATAGGACGGGGGCTGCAGGTGGCTCCTGCTCAGAAGCAATGGCTGGCATGGGTAGGAAGCAAGGCAGCCTTGTGCCCGCCAGCCACCCACGTTCATGATGCCCCATGCTGCCAACATGTGGAGGCTCTGATGTCAGAGAGTGGCTTCATCCTCCCCAGCCTCCCGGTGCCTGACCATGGCCATGCACGGGCCCTGGGCCTGCTCCTGAGAAGGGCACTGGCCATGGCGGGGCTGGGGGCAGGGATGATCTGTGCCCCTGGAATCAGCCTCTGGTCTTGGTGGTCATGGTCACTCTGTCCACCCCTCCTAGCCTTTCCACTCAGCAGACATGCACAAGGCCCCTCAGTGGCAGAGGCATAGCAAAGGCTGTGACCCCGGGTCCCAGGGCAGCTCCAAGTCCCAGAACGCTTCCTGGAGGAGGAGACGTGAGGTGAGCCCCCCGAGCTGAGTCCTCCTGCCTGTCTCTGGCAGACGAAGCCTTCTGGAGGGGTTTCTGGTCCCCCTGGCCGTCTCCTGTGGGGTTGAGCTGTCCCGCCTTCCCCACCCCCACGGTGGGCTGGGGTGGACTCACTGCCTCTGGAGGAGCTGCTGCTGCTGCCGATAGGAGTCCACCAGCGGCTGCGGCACCAGCTCCATCAGCTCCAGGCTCTCCTTCAGCTTCATCAGGATCTCGAAGTTCTCACGGCCTCGCACCTGAGCACAGAGGCGCAGACGCTCTGCCCACGTGCCCCAGACCCCCGTGGGAGGGGGGCGGACACAGCCTCAGGAGGACTGGGGCTTGGCAAAGCACTCACTCAGGAGCACTCACTCACACGCAGGAGCACTCACTCACACGCAGGAGCAGTCACATGCAGGAGCAGTCACATGCAGGAGCACTCACGCAGAAGCACTCACTCACATGCAGGAGCACTCACTAACATGCAGGAGCACTCACACTCAGGAGCACTCACACAGGAGCACTCTCTCACTCAGGAGCACTCACACAGGAGCACTCACTCACACGAAGGAGCACTCACACGCAGGAGCACTCACACACAGAAGCACTCGTGCAGAAGCACTCACTCACATGCAGGAGCACTCACTCACACTCAGGAGCACTCACACAGGAGCACTCACACGCAGGAGCACTCACACACAGGAGCACTCACACGCAGGAGCACTCACTCACATGCAGGAACACTCACAAGAAGGAGCACTCACGCAGGAGCACTCACACAGAAGCACTCACACGCAGGAGCACTCACACACAGGAGCACTCACGCAGAAGCACTCACGCAGGAGCACTCACACACAGGAGCACTCACACACAGGAGCACTCACGCAGAAGCACTCACTCACGCAGGAGCACTCACTAACATGCAGGAGCACTCACTCACACTCAGGAGCACTCACACAGGAGCACTCACTCACACGCAGGAGCACTCACACAGGAGCACTCACTCACACGCAGGAGCACTCACTCACACTCAGGAGCACTCACATGCAGGAGCACTCACACGCAGGAGCACTCACACGCAGGAGCACTCACTCACATGCAGGAGCACTCATTCACACCCAGGAGCACTCACGCAGGAGCACTCACACGCAGGAGCACTCACTCACATGCAGGAGCACTCACACACAGAAGCACTCACATGCAGGAGCACTCATACGCAAGAGCACTCACTCACGCAGGAGCACTCTCACATGAGCAGGCGCACACTCATGGGCAGGTGCACACTCACACGTGCAGGTGCACACTCGCAGGAGCACAGACTCACGAGCAGGAGCACACACTCATGTGCAGGAGCACAGACTCACGCACAGGAGCACACTCACATGCAGAAGCACACACTCACGTGCAGGTAGTACGTGTCCTCGTCTCCATGCCGCCGCTTCTTCACGCTGGCACCCAGGGCGGGGACGGCAGGGGGGCTCTGCTTGAAGGCTGGAAGGCCAGGCAGGGGAGCCGGGTGAGCAGGCAGGACCGGAGGGCGGGGCCTCCCTCTGGGAGGAGGGATACCTGCCCCACCCTCGGCGCCGATCGACCCTCCAGGTGGTTGCAGCTAGGGGACAGGTCCGGGGTGAGCAATCCACAGAGATGGGCAAACCTGGGCTGCCACCAGGCCTCTGAGGTGCCCTCGGCCCTTGGCCCAGGATGACAGACTTCTTTGGGGGCTGCTCTCAGGATCCGTCAGGGAGGCACCCAGGCCTGGGGGGGGCATTCAGGGGCTGGCCTTGTCCCCAGGATGCCAGCTTGCACTGTGTCCTGCCAGCATGCCCCTTCTCTTCCCCACACGCGTCCGATTCCACCCAGCCAGGCCGGCCCGCTGCTCACCGCGCTTGCTGGCGGCCCCGTTCTTGGCGGTGCTCTCGTTCAGGGCCTGCTGCTCCCGGTAGTGATCCTCATCTGCTTTCCGGTCGCGGCCAGGACAGGCGCAGATGCGGCCCTCAAAGGACCGGCGGCCCAGCACCTGCCCACTGTCGGGTGTGCACAGCCAGAACCGTGAGCTCAACCCTGCCCACCCTCAACCTGCCCACCCTCTTTGCCCACCTCGGACCCTGCAGGACCGGACTTGAGAGCCCTCAGAGTCACCGCAGAGCACCCAGTGCCGGCATCAAGTGTTCCTGCCAGAGGCTCAAAGCTGCGAGGCTGCCCGGAGACCTCGCCCAAGACTGCCGCCTCCCTGAGGAGGCCCAGCTCCTGCCCAGGAAGCCCCTGCAGGCCAAGGGGCGGTCCCTCGCTCCAGCCGCAAAGCTCAAAGCCTCTTCCCCCAGCTGGCCTTGGTCTGCACATCCCCATGGCAGCGTCTGCTCTCCTCCATGAGTGCCTGCCCAGCCCTGCCCCTCCTCCACCCCATGTGCCCAGGACTCACTCCCGTGTCTCCAGGGTGATGATGATGAGGATGGGCCGCCGGTTCATGCCCCCCACACAGCTGCTGTTGCACATGAAGTTGTACAGGATGGTGGTGAATTCTGTCCCCACCTGCACACCGGGGAGCAGGGAGAGGGGCTGGCATCAGCAGGAAGCCCTGGTCCACACAGGTGGCAGTCCCCAGCTCCATGTTTGGCCCTGGCTCCAGGTAGGCAGCGTTTTTTGCTATCTATCCATCTGTCTACTTATCCATCCATCCACCCACCCACCCTACCCATCCATCCACCCATCCGTCCATCCATCCACACATCCATCCATCCATCCATCCATCCACCAATCCCATCCATTCACCCACCCCATCCACCCACCCATCCATCCATCCCTCCATCCACCCATCCATCCCTCCATCCACCCATCCATCCCTCCATCCACCCATCCATCCATCCACACATCCATCCATCCCTCCATCCCTCCATCCACCAATCCCATCCATTCACCCACCCCATCCACCCATCCCTCCACCCATCCCTCCATCCATCCCTTCATCCACCCACCCATCCATCCACAGGTCCATCCATCCATCCACATATCCATCCATCCATCCATCCACCAATCCCATCCATTCACCCACCCCATCCACCCATCCCTCCATCCATCCCTTCATCCACCCACCCATCCATCCATCCATCCACAGGTCCATCCATCCATCCACACATCCATCCATCCATCCACCCATCCACCCACCCACACATCCACCCATCCGTCCACTCATCCATCCACCAACCCCATCCATTCACCTACTCCAACCATCCATCCATCCACCCACCCCATCCATCCATCCATCCATCCAACCACTCACCCACCCCATCCACCCACTCATTCATTCACCCAAGCACTGACCTCATCCATCCATCCATTCACCCCCAACCCCATTCATTTGTCCATTCGTCCACCCACACATCCATACACCCACCCACCCACACATCCATCCACCCACCCACTCACCCCATTTATCCATCTACCTATTCACCCACCTACCTACCCATCCACCCATCCACCCACCCACCCCATTCACCCATCCATTCATGAGGATCACTGAACAGCAATCACCGAGCTGGTTCTGGGATCTGGGAGGGCTTAGACCTGGTCTCTGCTCTCAGAGCAGCACAGAGTCCTGCTGCTGCTAGTCCCAGCCTTCTCCCCGACACAGGCTGGAGGCCAAGTGCAGATGCCGGGTGTGAGTGTGGGTGTGTGCACAGGTTTTGTGGGCCTACGTGTGTGTTGGATGCTGTGGGCTTATCCGGGCAGAAGGGTTTGCAGTGTTGCTCTGGCAGAGAGAGGGACCAGAGCTGTCCTCAGCGAACCCATCCCCAGCACACTCCCATTTACCAGGGAGTTTGCAGTACAGCTGAGACATGAAGCAAAACTATTTTTTTTTTTTTTTTTTTTTTGAGATGAAGTCCCTCTCTGTTGCCTAGGCTGGAGTGCAGTGGCAACGTCCGCCTTCCAGGTTCAAGCGATTCTCCTGCCTCAGCTTCCCAAGTAGCTGGGATCACAGGCACGTGCCACCACGCCCACCTAACTTTTGTATTTTTAGTAGAGATGGGGTTTTGCCACGTGGGCCAGGCTGGTCTCGAACTCCTGACCTCAAGTGATATGCCTGCCTCGGCCTCCCAAAGTGCTGGGATTACAGGCGTGAGCCACCGCGCCCAGCGTGAACCAAAACTCTTGATCAGTGTGCGTCCCAGACCACGGTGTGGGCAGTTTTCATGTCATGTCACCCTGGGGACAAATACAAAAGCCGTTCCGGATTTGGGAAGATCTTGGCCTTTCTCAGAACTGCTGTCACACAGCAGCCACCAGGGGGCAAGAGAGCCCTGCCTTCCTGGCGGGCGGGGCGGGTAAGGGTGGGACGAGGGTTTCAGGGAGCCCCTCCCGCCTTGGCTCTGCCGGCATGAAGGGCCACTCTTAAGGGAGGTGAGATGGGGCCTGGAAGGGGCCAGGGTACCGGTTAGAGGATTGTGCAGGGCCTAGAGACTGGGTACAGGGACAGGGGCCTGGCATGTCCTGGGGGCCCAGTACAGGGATGGGGACCAGGCTGGGTACAGCATAGAACCTGGTCTCAGAACCAGGTACGGGGGAGGTAGAGGCCTGCCATTGCCTGCCCTGCCCTGGGGGCCTGGTACCCACTCCTCACCTCCTGTCCTCCCCTCCCCACCCTCCCGCAGCAACTTCAAACCTGCTCCCTCTACCCCAGCCTTTCACCCCAGCCTTTCACCCCAGCCGGGCCCCACATCAGCTCCACAATGGTTTCCCCCAAACCAGAAACTTCTGCTGCCTTTGGGTCAAAGGTCAGAACCCCCCAGCCGCTCTGCGTCCCCTCCCCTCCTGCTTGCATGCCCCCCAGTCCCCTGCACCCCCCACCCACGTGATACCCAGCCGGGCCTCCCGGCTCTCCAGCCTGCTGACGGGGCTCAGCCTCCTGCAGGCCGCCTCTCCGGCGCCCCTGGCCTGGCCTAGGGGTTTTTCCACCATCCCTCAATCCTTTTCATAGAATTTGCCACCCCTATGGGCGCTGTGGTTGGTTTGGTTCTGTCCCAGCCAATCCAGAGTCTAAATGGGGGACGCCCTCCCCATCTCCCGCAACCTCATGTCCCGGAGCCCCAGGCCAGAACCAGTGTTGGGCCCCAACAGAGGGCAGAGTGAAGACCCACTCCCCACTATGGAGCCGGGCACACTCAGGCCCCAAAGGGCCCGAGACAGATGCGGGGCCAGAACAGCAGTGCGCACAGTGGGGCCTGTGTGGGCGGAGCAGGGAGCCCTGCCTCTGGGATAGGCAGATCAGCAACTGAGGAGGGACAGGGCCTACCTTGGGGGACCCCCACCCCGTACAGCTGACTGCAGGGCCCCAGGCCCAGCCTGGCTCCTGGCTTACCTGTGGTGGCTCATAGGGCACCACGACGCTTTGCCTGCCGGTGACAGGGTCATCCACGTACTGCGAGAGATTATTGCCTTCCACACGGATGAGGTGGCTGGCTGGGGCAGACTGTCCTGCCGGGAGGGGTCACCACTTCAGAGAGGTGCACAGAGGTGCCCAGCCCCGTGCCAGGCACAGAGAATTGCCCACCCTGTACCAGGTACAGAAGTGCCCAGCCCCATGCCGGGTTCACAGAGGTGTCCAGCTGTCAGGTGCAGAGAGGTGCCCACCCCAGTGCCAGGTACAGAGAGTTGCCCAGCCCTATGCCAGGTGCAGAGGTGTCCCCCTGTGCTAGGTGCAGAGAGGTGTCCAGTTTCATGTAAGGTGCAGAGAGGTGCCCACCCCTGTGCCAGGTGCATCACAGCAGAACTGAGACCACCAGGCCCAGTCCTGTGGGCTTCCAGGTGAGGCTCAGGCCAGCTCACAGCCCTCGTGCCCTGGGGGTGCCTGCCCAGTGGCCCTGCTCACTGATTCTCCTGCTAACCCCTGGGGTGGCCTGTAGACGTCCCCAGGCACACTGGAGAGAAGGGCTATGCCACATAGGATCTCTGGGTTCCCAGAAGGCTGCTGCCCCTCAGACTCTGCCCAGACCACCTGCCCCTGCCCAGGACCATGCCCCCCCAGGCCCCAGTCAGAACTGGGCAAATGGGGGCTGGGGAGGCACCGAAAGCCCTCCCCAGGGAATAGCTAAGCCCAAGCCATCAGCCCCGCTTTCTCCCAGTTAGGCAGCCCGGGCTGTGGGGCAAAGTGCCACCGTGGGCTGAGGCGCTGGGGGCCCTCACCTTCGTTGAAGTCCCTCCCGAGCTCGTGGTTGGGACAGCGCTTCACGATGTCAGTCACGTGCTCCGCCTTCTTGTAGACAGGCATAGCCCGGATGGCGGTGCCCGGGGGCGGTGGCGTGGACACCTTGATCTGGATGGGGCATGTCTTGGCGATTTGGCAGTACAGCTTCTTCAACAGCGGGGAGTACTGGGGGCGGGAGGGAGCAGGTGAGACTGGCAGTCCCCAGTGCAGCCCCGTCTAGGCTCCTGCATCATGAGGAGCCTCATCCTCCCCTCCTCCCCACGGGAGACCCTTCCACAAGCCCCAGGTGAGGACTGCCCGAGCAGCCCCTCTGCCGAATCCCTCCAGGCATGAAACCAGGCCCAGCTGCCTGGCACCCACTCCACAGCCATCGGGTGATTTGGGCTCCGTGACAGCAGGGTGTGAGTGCTGGTGGCAGCCAGGCAGGGAGGCTTTAGGTTTATGGATGGGGACAGGAAAGGCCAGGAGAGCAAGAAGGGACTGCTGGAGAGTGGGGGGGGGAGAGGAGTGGGGGCCAGGCCTGCGGAGTGACGCCCCCAACCGCAGTGTTCTGCACAGAGCCAGTGGACAGTGTGTGACAGGCTGGGTGCCCCTGTGCATCCCAGCTTCCATAGAGCTCTGGGTTGGCGTGAAGGCCTCTCGCGCCTCAGTAGCCCTGGTGACCCTCGTGCCCTCTCCTGCTGGGGCCACCACGTCTGAGCAGCCAAGCTGTGCTGCTTTGTCTGGCCACTCTGGGGACCCCTCTGGGCTTGCAGCCCCGGCATCCCCAACCTGGGACTCGTGGAGCTGAGAGGTCTGTCTGGGGCCAGAGCGGTCCCTGCTGAGGGAGGACTGGATGACTCCCTGATCCAGCTCCTGTGGAGGCCTCCAGCATCCCCACCCCACAGGGCCATGGCCCACAGGCCCCAGGCTGGCTCTCATGAATCCTAAAAGTGACCCGCTGAGGCCACTGCACGGGCGTCCACTTGTTTCCAAGCTGGCTGATTCCCTGGTCTGGGGGCTGTGAGTCCTCAAGCCCCTCCCCACAGGGACGTCAGGAGTGAGTCCCAGGCTCAGATTCAGAGAGTGACTTCTGCCCCCACCCCATGCCCTCTGAGCCCCTCACCAGCCCCCGAGGACTAAGAATCACAAGTCACTGCAGCCACAAATGCCCTGGAGAATGTCTGATTGCCCTCCACCATGGAACCGTTGGGGAAACTGAGGTCAGAAGAGGAAGCTACTAGTAGAACCAGGGAAGTGGCAGGTAGAGCCTTCCCTTTGCCACCCGCACTGGCCACCAGCCCTACCTCTGGCCATCAAGGGACACGAGGGGCTCTCAGGAGCCACATAGGTCCTTGGCAGGTAGGTGCAGGCACAGGAAAAACAAGGAAAAAGGAGGAAAGAGACAGGGGTGGTGTAGCTGACAGAGCCTGTGAGCCATGGTGGGTGGAGCCTGGGTCCCCAGCACCCTCAGCGCCCTGGCCCTTCGCAGAAGGAGCCATCCCCTCTCTGATGAGCTACCTGGGCTTCCCGAATGAGACCCAGCCAGGAACGCTGGCCTGTCCCTGCCATGGGTGTGAGGGGGCTGGAGGGACAAGTGGAAGGGGGTCTTCCAGTGGCCTCCTGGGGATGGGAAGTGGAAATCCAAAGGGCGGGTCCCTCTTAGGTCCTCCTTCCATCTGAGTACCCTGGAGCCAGGGTGGCACCGCTGCCGCTGCCTGTACCCCCGACCTTGGGCACTGGGTCTCAGGCAGGAAGCCGCTCACCCCGAGACCTGACAGGAAGGAACCATCACGCACAGCCCTGCAGGTGGCGCTGGGCACTGTTTAGAAAAGCAGGAAACAGGCCGGAGGCCAAGGCAGGCAGATCACCTGAGGTCAGGGGTTCAAGACCAGCCTGGCCAACATGGTGAACCCCTGTGTGTACGAAAAATACAAATATTAGTCAGGTGAGTTGGTGGGCGCCTGTCGTCCTATTTACTCGGTAAGCTGAGGCAGGAGACTAGCTTGAACCTGGGGGGATGGAGGTCACAGTCAGCCGAGATGGCGCCACGGCACTCCAGCCTGGGCGAGAGAGAGAGAGAGAGGAGAGAGAGAGAGAGGGAGGGAGGGAGGGAGAGAGAGAGAGACAGGAAGGAAAGAAAGAAAAAAGGAAGGAAAAAAGAAAAGAAAGAAAAGCAAAAAGAGTCTCACAGAAAAGGAAAGAAAAACAGAAAACAGCCTTGCAGAGCCGGCAGCCCTCAGCCGTGTGTGGGCGCTGGCCCGGGGCCGTGGGAACTGCAGGCTCGGCCACGGCGGGAAGGACAGCAGTGCCCTTGTTGTGGGGACGGTCTGGCTTCCCTGCGGGTGACTGCTGGAGTACAGGGTTCCCACCATTACGAAAGCCCCCTTCGCTCCCCACAGCATCGCTTGGGAGGGTAAACGGGAAGTCCTGCCCCTAGGGCACATGGGAACAGCTCACAGCTGAGACCCTCTGAGACTCGGAACCTCAGGAGACTCAGAGGAGGCCCTTGGGCTGGCCTTGGAGTGGCCTGTGTCCAGGCGCTGGTCTCTTGGATGAAGGCCTTGCCAGAAGCCACACACCGCAGTGTGGTCTCCATCTGTGTGGGTTGGGGACAGAAGGAGGAGGGGACCAGGTGGTGGCAGGTGTCTCCCAGTGCCCTGAGCTGGGGAGAGGAACACAGGGCCGGCAGCTGTGTTGCCTGGCTGCTCCTAGGCCAGGGCAGCTTGCAGGGTGAGCTGCCCATTGCTGAGCATTTATGGGGCACCTCTTGTATGCAGAGCACACAGGCCCCCTGGAATTCAGGCCCCTGGCTCTGTCTCCTTCATCTTTCCTCAGTAACGTGCGGCAGCTAGAGGTGTGCAGCTGGTACTCAATAAATGCCATCCATCCTCACTTGTTCCCTAGAGAAGCCGCATGGCAGGGAAGAGACGGCAGATCCCCTGTGAAACAGACCCGGGCCAGGGTGGCTCAGGTCAGAGTCTCAGGGGCAGCAGAAGGAGAAGGGCCTCTGAGGTCCAGCCACGTGGGTCTCAGCTCTGGCTCTGTGCTCACCAGCTGGGAAGCCTCGAGCCCCTGCACAAGGCTCTCCTCCTGCGTCTGTGACTCATTGCGTATCCCCTGGGAACACAGTGGCCTGCAGGTGTCAGTGGCTACTGCGCCCTCGTCATTCTCCGAACTAGGTGAGGAGGTGTTGGTTGCAGGGGGCTGGACCCACACAGGCCGGCTCCCCTGCAGCTCCCTCTCCGGGCTGAGCCCCCTGAGGCTCCATCCACCCTCGTGCCCCAGCCCACGGCCTGAGATGGGGGTCAGTAGATCCACCAAGGGGGGCCCCAGACACTTGCGGGGAGGGGAGGCTGCCTGGGCTCCTCAGCTGGTTGGACACAGATGGAGCTGGGTGCAGCCAAGCCTGCGGGCAGAGGCCCTGGCAGCCCTCGCTCCCTGACAGCACCATGGAGTCTGAACAGTGTGAGGGGTTTCACAGCACCCCCTGCCTGGCCCCTGCAGCCCCTCCCCTAGGGCCCTGCCCCAGCCCCCTGGCCACCGTCCTCCATGGAACCTCAGCTCCCAGCCACCCGAGCCTCAGGGTCAGCCGAGCTCCCATTTCACAGACAGGCAAACCTAGGCAGCGGCCTCTAGGCAGCACCCTGCTGAGCCCACCTGGCTCCCTCTGGAGCCCCGGGCAAGGTGAATCGGTGATCCGTGCTCTGGAAGCTGTGTGGTGAGGCGTCCCAGGGCCGGGGCACACGAAGTGGGTGCAGGGCCCAACGTGTGCTCCCATCTGTACTGCTCCGGCTGGCCCGTGTGCCAGGTGCCAGGGCCCAGGCTCAGGGAGCACTGTGGACACCCCGCCCCGGGGAGGAGCTCAGGCACGCTGGGAGCTGTCCTTGGTACCTGCTGCAGGCGGCGGCCGGACCACCGACCCGGGAGCAGGGACTGGGACTGGAGTGTGGAGTGGCCTAGGGTGGGCAGGTCTCAGCTTGGGCAAGTGGTGGAGGGAGGCCAGGCCTCAGGGCAGACAGCAAGGAGGCCGCTGCCTTCAGGTGACACGAGCACCTCTCCTCCCCTCTGGCCAGCGAGGCCACCAAGGCCCTGGGCCTGGTTCTCCCCACAGGGGTGTCCCTAGTGCAGTGTTCACATGGCTTTCGGGGCACACAAGCCTGGCAGACCCCACCCTGGCACTAACAGGACCCTGGTGCCCAGCCTGGCTGGAGCTGGGTGGCCTCAGGGAGGGATGTCTGCGATGTCCCCTGCCCTGTCAGCATCTGAGGCTGGGTGACACAGGTGGCCATAGGATCGGAGGGAGCCCTGAGACATTCAGGTGTTTCCAGAGAGCGGCCCAGCCCAGGACGGCATGAGCGCTCCCCAACCCCTTCCTCCCACCTCCCCAGCAGCCCCCCCCCGGCCCCAGGCTCGGGCTGGAGGCTTCGGCTCTGCCCTGTGGAAAATGGGAAGGAGGAGGACTCTGGTGGAGTCTGTTCTATAGGTAAGGTCATGTGGAGATGCTTCCTCCCCGCCACCCCTCCTGCCTCCTCCTTCCCTAGAACCGCTAGATGGATGTGTTTCAACAGATTCCGAGCTGATAAAATCGTATTTATCTTCGGCTGTTGACACGGAGCCGCCTGGACTTGCCTGCCTGGGGTGCGTGCGCCATCCTGCTTGCAGGAAAGGGTTTGCCCAAACGCCACTGCGCTCGTCCCTCCCCACCTGCCGGCTCCGCTCCGACCCTCTGCTCCTTCCCCTCCTCCGCGGCCCCAGTCCAACATGGGCCCGGCCTGGCTGGGAGCCCTGGGCCCGGCAGGGCTGGTGCGGGGGTGGGCGAGGGGCGGGCGCGGCGCGGGGCTGTTAATTTCCTCGTGCCCGCTCCTCGCTCCCCGGCAGCTGGGTGCCCGGCACGGGCAGGTTTGGGCAGGAGGACAGCGGAGAGGTGATAATAACTTGTCTGTCATTTTCCCGGGACGTGTAGCATCTTGCAAACCGCAAATACCGTTAACCAGCGTGGGTGAATCTGTTGCAACAGATTCTGGAAGATGGGGCCTGCAGTGGGGGCTTTTATTTTTTAAATGATTTTTTTATAACCCACTTTTATCCACTTTCCATGCGTGTGTGTGTGTGTGTGTGTGTGTGTGTGTGTGTGTGTGTTTCTAAGGCCATGTCTCTTTCCTCTCTGGGCTTATGGGCCTCTT